GGGGGGGGGGGCGCACCCCGGAGGTCTAGCTGAAGGAAACCCTGCAGCCGACCCAAAGTATCCGCGCCTAACACACTCCTCACGGGTAAATCACCCGCCTCATGTAGCACACAGTCACAGGGAACCCGCGTCACGAGGGGATCATGGGTCAACCCCGGGGCACGGATGGTCATTCACGCGTGTAAATAACCAAACCTACGCTTGAATTCCCAGTACATAGCTGTGTGTTACTTTAACTTTAAACTGAGGTTACCCACATCAGTACACTATTACTATAGGGTCGTCCTTTAATTACGTTAACACTTTTTCCGCAATTTTTTACCCCTCCCCCCCCCCCTTTGTCAACAACTGTCAAACTTTCGATGACCCCCCTATTTAATTATGTCAACATTTTATTAATTGCCCCCCCCCCTTTTTTTTCACTAAAAAGAATGAATTATAATATAAATAAATTTTACTTTGTGCTGATGTATTTTTAATAACACAAAATTGTAGGAAAAGCATTTCATTACATCTTTAGCTTGTTTTAATCAGCAAGTTAGAAAGTTTTTAAACTTCAATTTTATAATGTAGAATAAATTTTAAAGTTTGTTAAAGACTAAATATAATTGTTTGTGGAAGTATAAATATGATTATTGTCAGTATAGCTGACAATTATTGTATAGTTTCTAGCTGCTATTATCTTCTCATGGAGTAGCCAGTTGTTGTTCTATCGTAACAATGGGCATCAAGGACATCATTTGGTCTATCGTAACAATGGGCATCAAGGACATCATTTGGGTAGGGCGGGGGGGGGGGGGCATTTGACTTCTCTTGCACTAACAAAGTGTGCTGACATTCTGACCAGCTAATTGCAGTGCACAGACAAACACACATTAATGAACTCTTAAATTGTTAAAAGCCTAAACATATATGACTAGTTACACTCATTAAATTGTTTAAAATAATGTAAGAACCAGTCAATTTTTAAGATTAAAATTTTAATAGAAAAAAAACATGATTTTTGACGTCAACTAATCTACCCCCCCTTTCCCCCCTCGTCAAAAACTGTTAAAATTTCCACCCCCCCCCCCGCTATTTTGATGACGTAATTAATGGACGCCCCTATGAGAGTGTACTCTCTTATTCCTATCGGTGGCTCATTGCCACAATGATAATCCTTCTCTTAGCAAAACGAACTCTAAAAATAATACTTTGGCAACCCCCGAAGAAAGCACCAAACAGGTTCAGTGATGCAATACATAATCTAAACCCCGAGACCCGCCCCTTGGCCATAAGCACCTATCCTATACGCAAATACACAAAATCG